ACCGGAGGAGATGGGCACTCCTTCCTCACTCAGGATGCTGCCAACAGCAGCGGAGGTGCTGGAGCCCACAGCGGTGTTCTGGGGGAAGGAGCTGAGGATGGGTCCGGGCAGGGTGACCACCACGGGAGAGGGCTGGATCACCACGCGGGAGTCCTGGCACTGGCGCACACAGGGCTCGTTGCAGCTGTTGGCCAGGGGGGTCGGGCCACAGGGGCGGCACAGATCGTAGCAGGACATGGCTGTGGGATGGAGGTGGACCTGGAGAGAGGACAGCAGAGCACACATGGCGTGAGCAGTAGGCTGGTAGTATACTCACAAAGGGAGGATGCACAGGCTGGGAAGCAGGGACAGGCAGTGCAGGTACCGAGAATGTCCTCATCCCCTGGAGCTCCAGCTGAGAAAGCCCATTGCCTTCTCCCTCCTCCCCCCACACTTTCAATCAGAAAAGTGCAGGTGGGTGGACTGCCAAGGAGCAAGGCTCACATCAAGGTCTGCATGAGGCAACCAGTCACTGGAAGCCAGAAGAGCAAAAGGAGAAGCTGAGAAATAGGAGAATGAGGAGAAGACCATTGCAGCTCACCTTGTTCACCAAAGTGGAGAAGGCAAGAGAAGTGGATGAGGGAGCCTGGTGCTGGACTGGCTTTTATACTGGTCAGGACTGCCCTAGGCAGCGAGGCAATATTTGCACTTGTAATGTGTTTACCAACAAGGTCATATTTTATGTTTAGCATTCCAATTATGTAAATAGTTTGATTGTTTATTTTCCCTGCAATGCTTCCTTTTTATTTCCATTTTCATTACTTTCCCATTCTCTCATGCAATTTCCATTCAAGGTACAATATTATAGGCCACTATTTCCATTGGTAATTATGCTAAATTCAGGTCCTTGTTTTTCAAGTCAGAATGTTGCCATGTTTTCAGGTGACATCAGCAATTTTCCCTTCTGTGGTATGTCTTTATGCTGTGTTATTATGAATGTGTTTGTGTTTTTGTTCTTTTTTCATTATAAACATATGATTAAAGAGCAGAACTTCTTTATCCAGGGACTGGTCAAACCTATTGCATTCAGTGCCTCCAAGGACCTTTAAGCTTTCCTAGGCATCATTTTTACAGCAGGGAGAATGTGCTGTCAGGTGTTTCAAACTCTCTATGTGATATGTCACTGCATTCAGTCAAGCTAGCCTGTCCACTTTTTAGCTCCTTCAGCATTGCCTGGTGATCCCCAAACACTAGACCATGCATATATCAGAAAAGAATGATGTTACTCTTCCAAAGTCAGTATTAGCTAGATTCTACTGCTATCTTATAGAAAGCAAACCTTAACAAAACCATTTTGTTTCTTTAAAACTCTTCCTTCTTCATTTCCTATGTCCCCATGCCTTGGATCCTTTTTTGCCCCTATGTCCTGACACAGTACACACTGACAAACACACAGCAACATTTCCAGGTTGTACATACATCCACCAAGAAACAAATGAGGTCTGGGAGAGCCACCAAGGGCAGCTGGGACAGCAGCAGGAGTCAGGGCCACCCTAAGAATATGTGCCATAGGAAGACACCAAGCTCTATGCAGTGTTGGCCTGAGGCAGCACATGCCCAGGAGGAGAAACTGCCCAGCATGCGATACCCAACATACACATCACTGGCCACTTACAGGCCCTCATTCCACAGTGTGGACAAAGTGCCTTCCACAATTGCAGTGAGACTCTACCAGACACAGGAAACTCTGTAATCACAGAGGCACAACCAAATTTCTCATTCAGGAAGATGAAAGGAGCTTCTAGGGCGACAGGATATGTTCATTTAAGCAAATCTCTATTCAAAGTAAATCCTCAGTGTGATTGCAATAAAGCATCTCTGCATGAAGAAAAAGGATTTTATTCATACTTTAAGGAATCTTAGTCATCCTCAAACTTTATGGAACATCAGTGTCCTATCCATGCTTCTTTCATTCAAAAACCCTCAACAAGCAAAACACTGCATGCAAAAAAGTATTTTTCTACCATCTCTCCATACTCCCTACTCAGATCCCCATGCAGAAGGTATACACAAGACCTCAAACGTTTTACAACACCCTGCTTTCTCAGACTTCATGCTAAGGGTGTTCTCTTCTGTGCCTGGGCGTATATTTTGACATGAGTTCAGTAAAAGGCACAGAATGTCATAAAGCAGGAAGTAAAGTGGATTTTTACTGATTCTCACAAGCAGAGAGGGCCTTTTGAATTCTTGCTGAATGTAAGTTAGCATAGTAGTCATTAATACAATAGTATCCATCTGGTATAGAAATATACTTTTGTCAAGAGGATACAACACAGTAGTGGACTCTCATTCCACTTTAAACAGGACTACAGGGCCAGGAGATAAGGATTGCCCATGAAGTAGTAGAGAAGAGGATGGTAGGTTCTGAGAACAGAACTGAAAATAGGAGCTAAAATCTGCCATTAGAAAGATGGAATAGATGCTGGCTTATCTCTTTGACTCTTTCTGGACTCTGTACTTTGAGGGTTTGCCAGGTGCTCATGGAGGGATGGGAAGAAAAATATGCTTGGAATGGTAATGTAGCATCAGAGCTTCAACCAGTTGGGCACTAGCCTCAAAACCATACAATTCAACAATTCAGATGTTTGCATTAGCAACTGAAAGACAAAATCAAAACCTTGCTCATTCTTTAAATGAAATTTGAAGGAGCATATGGAAACACTTGGCAGACATTGCCAACAGTGCTCTGGCTCTCAACAAGTTCACAGTGTCATCTCCAGTGTCCATCTCCAATACTCAAAGCAGGAAGGAGATCCAATTAGGACAATAGCCATTGACCATTTTTAAGAGCAGGGCATTACATTTTCCCCTAGACAGCTTAAGTGAACATCTCAATAGGAAAGAAACAAGAGGAGACTGAGATAACAATGCAGCATAAATTTATTGAGTCTGAAGGTAGAAAATAAAGCAATGCATAGGGTAAGGGATCTGGTCCAGGCTGCTACAAGAGCAGCTGATACTCAGACATCCCTTCACCAGAACGGGATGCACATCTTCTTCCCTCACATGGTGAGAGGGAGAAAAAGCAGGAGCATCTAAATTTGCTTCAGAATGAACCCATTGTGCAGAACAGCAGGAGATAATATGGACTCATGACGATGAATAGGAAGAGGAAAAAGAAAATGACATCACAGGGCCATGTTTCCAGGCAACATAGGCTTTGCAGCAGGGCATGAGGGTGTTCAGCCCATCTGAAAACTCAGGCCAGCAGCTTCATCCTCAGTCCGGCATCTGGTTTTGGGCTTCCTGGGCAATGGGCGCAAGGGACTTCCATCTCAACCTTAGTAGGGCAGGCACCTCCTGCTAGAGAACCGGCCACCCAGGCCAGAGATGCCAAAGCCACCGGAGGAGATGGGCACTCCCTCCTCACTCAGGATGCTGCCAACAGCAGCGGAGGTGCTGGAGCCCACAGCGGTGTTCTGAGGGAAGGAGCTGAGGATGGGTCCAGGAAGAGTAACCACCACAGGAGATGGTTCAATCACCACGCGGGAGTCCTGGCACTGGCGCACACAGGGCTCGTTGCAGCTGTTGGCCAGGGGGACCGGGCCACAGGGACGGCACAGATCGTAGCAGGACATGGCTGTGGGAT